CTAGTGGTAATGATATTAAGAACCTCGTCGCATTCATCCTCTCACCTTCATTTTTCATTTCCCAGCCACTTCTTTAGATGGATTTAGGTCCCGTTTATTTCACCGATTCGAGTTTAGAATTTGAGTTTTACTACAGTAAAAAGCTCTCATAAACAATCGCATCTAACTTTTTTACTTCAGTTATAAAACTCTCACATAAAGTCGCATCTTAACTCGAATTAAAAATTCAAATTATTTCCATAAGCTTGAGCAACATCCTCTCCCCTACCCCCACACCACCACCTGCATGACCAAGAAATCCACCACACTTCTCGAGCTCGTAGCAGCAAGCCCTCCTATGGTAGATCTCAGCATTGCAGCAACCCCTTCGTTATCCCGACATCGTCGCGATCGACCTCAACGACATCTTAACGTCGGAGCGCTACCTTCCCCACAAGATATTGTCGTCATCACGCCCCACCCCCATTAGATCTTGCTATTAATCTAGTTTGATTTGTCAAATTTTGTAAAGCAACATATTTGCTCTCTCTTTCTCACTCTCTTGGTTTCACATTGTGGGTCTTTTCTTTTGCTCATCTTGCTGGAAATACATGGATTTCACAGAAAACATTTTGCTCTCTTTTCCATCTCTTTTATTTTTCTTTACTGTAGATTTAACGTTGATTTTCAAACCTTTTTTTTTATAACGAAATTGGATTCAAGAAAAAAGAGACATGAACACTACTATTAACTCAAAGACCCTATCACACAAGGAGAGACTCTACCTTGAACAAAGACCAAATCCACAAGTAAATTCAGTTTCAATGGATAAGAGCTCAAATGTAATAGCAATTTTTAGTGGATAAAGTGTCCAAATAACATAATTTAAGACATATAGGGATCCCAAAAAGTACATGATAGAACCCAATACAACAGCCAAATAAGCCAATATATGTATGGTTTGTGATGCTAATTATTTATCTTAGTCTTCATATCCAAACGAAATGGAGTTAAGAAGCAATAAAGAGGCACAATCTTTTGTTTTGCTTCCATGACTCATCAATTATCAACTTTATATGTTGACGTGCTTCATCCTCAGAAGCACCAAATTCATTCATGTAGCACTGGATGGATGTGGGAACATTGCCCTTTTCTAATTCAAACTGAAACAACGACAAGAAAAAATTAGCTCGATAATGTAAAGGTATAACCCATTATGAAAAGCAATATTAGAAACCAAGCAATCTTCATGGTTCAGCTTGAATCCTAAGAAGGATGGTCAACACACAAAGACTAAGCTAGTAGGTACCTTGAATTATTTAGTTTTTAACGAAATTGTTAATTAAATTTTTAGTCAACTGCGAAAATATTGAATTTCCTAAGAGGGAGATGGGCTAAAGTTTTTGTTCTTTCACGTAACTTGATTATTTTACCCTATTAAAAAAGAGGCCGACAGGGACAGTCGGTTTAGCATTACTCTCATTGGGCGTTGTCAAAGTTCTGCAAATGCTGTTAGCGATGCATGTTTGTTGAAGGCTCTACAGACCTACCCCTTTATAAGGAGCGTGTCACTCCAGTCTCACTTAACGTTAAAAATAAATAAGGATCTGGTAAGTCCTAACCTTCACATTTAAGACCCTCAAAGAGAGCCACCTAGCACTAGAACCTTCAAAAAGGCTGGTAAGTCCAAACTAGCTAGCCATTTCCTAACAAGCTATATGTAAATGTAATATGCCTTATTCAAAAAATAAATAAATATAATATGCTTACAGGCAATGTAGAGAGATCATTTGTGAGTCGACCAATAATTGATGCTTCGCGGATTATACTCGGATACCCTTCCATGGCTAATAATATAATTGCCTCTTCCCTTAGTGGATTTGTCACACAGTTTTAAGGTATACCCTTCCATGGCTAATAATAAGCATACCAGTTTTTTAAGGTATTTAATGATGTGTAATCCTTGTTCTTTTAGAACATCATATGCCAATTCGTTTGTGGTGTTGTACACAGCAAGGAAGCTCAATTTCATAGTGTCAGATAATGCATCCATTGCATTCGTCTCCCAACTGCAATGCAGACATATGAAAGGATGAGTAACATCATAATTAATTTACGTGCAGATCCAGAATGTTATTTTAAAAATCTAACTATTATACGGGAAACATTTAAGAGAAATATATTTAAAGGGGGGCACAATATTGAAACTAGAGAAATATATGGACCAAAAATTGAAAATTTAAGAAATTTTAATGGGGCACGTGCCCTCACTGTCCCTTTAGCATGTTGAGTATTAAAGCTTGTGTAAAATTCAAATCATCACGTTGATATATATGAATTCGAAGCGTGAAAGTCAAACCTTTGAAAAGCATTTGTAAACTTCTCGAGTTCATCAAGTGTACCGTAGGAATGATATGTGTCATCAACTACTGTCAAGAGCAAAAATATTTTGGTTGAAATTTTTCTGCAGTATCCATATTGGGGTTCGAATACCATTCCCACGTTCCATAAGACATTCTCCACCAACCTATCTCTGCAAAAGTTCATAATTTGTCCAAGACCGCTGTGCCTCCACCACCTTAATTTGTATTTAAAAAAGAAGGGTTATTGGCACAAATGTTCCCTAACCTATTTAGTAAGTGATATTTTGGTCTTCAACTTTTTTTTAAGTAAATCGACCCCCAATCTTTAAAACCAGGTGCAGTCTGGTCATTTTCGTTAAAATCCGTCTAAAAACTAACAGCCCAATACACGTCACCACCCACGTGACCCAGATTGTTGGTGGAAAGATGAAATTGCCCACTTGAACTCTTCTTTTATTCCTATTTTTTTTCTAAAAATAGGATGGAGAGGCATGTTTCTGATTTCGGGCGAGCGGGTCAACCGTTCATACCACGTCAAAGCTCTCGATGAGACAAACTTGTTCCCGCCTTCAGTTTCCTCACACGACGCTCCGATCACCGGAAAAACGTCAAAGTTGTCGGAAATCTAAACGGAGATGGTCAGAACTATTTCCGCAACCAATTATGGTAAACTTGGTATGGATTTGTTCCGCTCGACAAGAGGAGTCTACAGACACCACTTACCGGAGGATTGGACGTCAGACGGCGCTAGAATCTATGTTGGAAGGTGTTGTGACCGAAAATTTCTAACTGAAATTTTGACCGATAGGTGGCGAATCGGGCAGTGAGGTGAGGGAGGTTTTGTAGATCAGCTCATTTGCTCTTTGGGTTCGGTCTCAATTCATGGTGGGTCATCACCTTCTTGGGTGTCCAAATCTTTCAACCCTAAATTCTATTTCTTCTACCACAATTACCTCCAATTTCAATCCCAAATTCTCTTTTTTCTACCGTATAAATCACCCTCAAATCAACCAAGGATGTGTTTTTACACATATACCCCAAGTTAAGGGGTCAAGTGAGCCTCTCTCGTTAGCTTTTGGACAGATCTTGATAGAAAATGTCAAATTGCACCTGTTTTAAAAGATTGGGAGTCGATTTGCTAAAAAAAATTTGCGAACTAAACTGTCACTGACTAAATAAGTTGAGACCTTTTGTGGCAATAACCCAAAAATGAAATGCAGCGAACGTTAAAACAATGTTTTCACGTTTCAGAATATAAAAACAAAACAATTTATTGTAGTGGTATTTGCAATAAATTTTATGGGCACGCACTCGCAATCTCAGACGTCCACATCGCTCAAGATTCGCCTTTCGCATGCGTGAAGCCCAAGCTCCCAAGCTGGCGCGTTCCTGAGAGCACCTGCACCCCGCTACAGCTTGCTGGAGATCCGCGACGTAGTTCACCAGAAGCTCCGTGCACCTGCGCTGTTGTCCAGTCCATTTTCACCACGTCGCCGATGATCCACTCTCACCGGTCTCCATTTGACACGTGGCCTGCAATTTAGAAGTCCAGATATTATTTTGGGGCACTCGTTAGGATTATTTTGTTTAGGATTTTCATTTTTAGGTTTAGGAATTTGGAAGGGAGAAAATATTTTAAAGATCAAGAATTGAAGATTAAGGACTTATTTTTTTGTATGACTTGAGTTATGTATGTGAGAAAAATACTATAATAAAAAGTTGAATTTAAATTTTTTGTGAGAGAGAATACTATATCAATATTACTTGAGTTATCAAATGAACATACTCTAAATATTGGAGAGTCAAGTCTGGAAATCGGTGACACCTCGGCATAGGTTTTTCTTTCTAATTTTCTTTTATTTGTATTTTTATAATTTGAGATATTAGAACCCTTGGTTTGGTTTATTTAATTTCAGTTATCTTTTGGTTTTATTTTGTTAGAGCTACGATTTAGCCTGACTATAATATTTTAATTATTTTATTCAAGTTATTTATTTTTATTTTCTAAGATTGAGTATCCTTTACCGTTTTTAATGTTTCTAATTAATTGACTACTAATTAGATTAGGGACTAAAATGATAAGATTAAATGAGGGTGAGAGAAAAATAAAAATAAGGAATAAAAGAAGCAAATAAAAAAAGAAAGTGGAGGCAAAAGTGACCGAATTAAATAAGGGTGAGTTAGAAAAAAAAGACTAAAGAAGCAAATAGAAAAAAAAAAAAAAAAAAAAAAAAAAAAAAAAAAAGAAGAAGAAGAAGAAGAGGGCGTTTTTAAGTATGGTAAAGATAAGTTATTTTCTTTTGGATTAAATACATATCATGAATGAACTTTTACTTTCTTTGCAGTTTGATCCACTATAATTGAAGAAAGAGAACACTGAAATTAAAGAAAGTCATATTCTCAAAGAGTTATCTCGAGAAAAAAAAAAAAAAAAAAAAAAAAAAAAAAAAAAAAAAAAAAAAGAGAAAAGAGAAAAGAGAAGAGAGAGAGAGAGAGATAGAGAAAAGCCCATCTCTTCTTTCGGCGCGTCCAAAGATGTGGGTTTCCACAAGTTCAGAAGTTCACGGACTATATTCGGCATAAATAAAAGTTCAAGAACCAGCTAGACAAATAAGACCAAAGTTGGAGGACCAAAATATCATTTAAACGTTTTCTTTTTTCTCAGCCTTTTCCTCCCTCTTTCTTTTAAGTTCTACCCCGCATTTTTCGGTCGCGGATTTAGGGTCTCCGAAGCGAGGGGCTCGTGTCCTTCGCCGGGTTTCAAGATCCATTGTTCCCAATTGATTCCTAACGCATGTATGTCTCTGCTTTTTCTCTAGGCAACATTCTTCACGACAATCTCACCAAGTAAGGCGTTTTGTCTCGCATTCCTGTTACCCTTGCATTCTACTATTTTCTCTCGACTTTTGTGTTTTCTTTTGGTACTTTCGGTGTGATTTCATGATTTTAAGATCTGGGTATTTGCGCACTAAAGCTAAAAATTCTGAGTTCTTTCTTTTATGTTGATCTGGATGAAAATTTTGTTTTGAAATTTCTGGGAATTTGGATTTGGCAGTTATAAAGTTGAACGAATTTGGAGGTGGGGTTTTGAAGATCGTGAATGTTCAGGTTCTTTGGTTGTGAATTCAGCTGAATTAGAGATGGGTTTTTGCTGATTTTCTTCGTAGTTGTATTGAATGCAGTAGAGGGGTTTGTTTTTTATCGTTGTGACAATGCCCTCGACGGAGAATTCGGGTTCTTCTTCACCTTTGGCCTCATTGGGTCGTTCAATTTGGAGTTTTAGGAGAGAACAGGTCCATTCCATGGAAGGTAATCACGACACGAGTGCCCTCGAATCGGAGCTCGAATCGTTCCAACAGAAAGTGGCGGAACGATTTCAGGACCTCTCGGGTGCTAGCAATGATGAATTACTCTCTATTCCATGGATGGGAAAGCTTCTGGATTTGTTCCTTTCCTCTTTGGAGGAATTCAGAGTTCTCTTGTTGAAGAACAAAGGAGAGGTCACCAAACCGCCGTTGGACCGCTTGGTTGATGATTTCTTCGAAAGGAGTGTGAAAGCGCTTGATATTTGTAACGCTACTCGTGATGGGATTGAGAAGATCAGGCAGTGGCAGAAGCATTTGGAGATTGTCCTGTGCGCCTTGGACTCCCACAAGAGGGCATTGAGTGAGGGCCAATTCCGCCGAGCAAGAAAGGCGCTCCTGGATTTGGCGCTCACTATGCTCGACGAAAGAGACTCCTCTGGCTCAGTGTTTTCTCACCGGAACCGTTCTTTTGGGCGTCACAACTTGAAGAAGGATACTCATCATCAGCATTCTCAACAATCTACCGGGCATTCTCGCTCTCTTTCGTGGAGTGTATCGCATTCTTGGTCAGCTTCTAAACAACTCCAGTCCATTGCAAACAACTTGGTGCCACCCCGAGGGAATGAGATTGTGGCCACAAATGGGCTTGCAGTGGCAGTTTTTACAATGAGTTTTGTTCTTATGTTTATCCTTTGGGCTCTTGTTGCTGCAATCCCGTGTCAGGATCGTGGTCTTAATGTCCATTTTTCAGTTCCGCGGAACTTCTCCTGGGGAATGCCATTGATGTCACTTCAAAATCGAATTTTGGAGGATTCAAAGAAGCGGGAACACAAGAACTCCAATGGATTGCTTAGGGAGATTTATCAGGTGGAGAGAGGCACACGGCACATGACAGACTTGGTGGATTCGGTTCAGTTTCCCTTGTCAGAGGAACAGAAAATGGAGGTTGAACAAAGGGTACAAGAGATAGCGCTGGTTTGTGAGTCATTTCGGAGTGGATTAGATCCGTTGGAGCGCCAAGTAAGAGAAGTGTTCCGCAGAATTATGGCTTGTCGAACCGAGGGTCTTGATATCTTGAATAGGGGAAATGATTTGGAGTAATTTGAATCGGTGGAAGTTTATAGTAAAGCTGAGCTTCAAAGTGTACAAAATCTGCGAATGTGTTTACTTTATTGAATTTTGAGGTTAATTACCATGAGATGAGCTGTAACCAAGAAAATGAGTCAAGTTCTCTTATAATTTATCTCTATACTATACTCTCTGTAAAAATATAGTGTTTCAAATTGATCTTTTGGTGAAGTAGTATTTAAGGTTTTGTTTGCAATTCAATTTCTCATTTCCGTGTACTTCCTATAATGATTAGGGAGAGAAAGAAGATACAGGTTAAAATTTGAAGGTGGTGGCACTGAGGAGATTAGATTAGTAAAGTTATGCTTTTTTCCCCCCATTTTGTTTGCCCTTCTATGTTGCTAATTGACAGTATTTACAGAAGATTATTCATTTGTCTTTATTACATGTTTGCATTGTTTACTCAATGAAGTTATCATGTCTGATTGTCATCTAAGCACAACATGCGTACAAGTGCAAAAACTAATGACTCGCGTGATACATTTTCTAACAAAGTTTAGATGAGAGCACTTTTTAAGGATTTAATTTATTTATTGATCACAATTTTGACTGGTTTTGCTCTATTATAAGATCACAACTTGTGGTACAAAGATTGTAAGGTGCCATTTTCAATTATTTAAAAAAAAAATAATTTATTTATTGATCACAATTTTGACTGGTTTTGCTCTATTATAAGATCACAACTTGTGGTACAAAGATTGTAAGGTGCCATTTTTAAAAATTTAAAAAAAAAAAAAAAAAAAAAAAAAAAAAGAAAAAAAGATGCCCCCTTGCCGAAGCAAAGATTCACATTGGGACGTCTTCTTTTCTAGCCAGACGATACAAATTCCTTTTTCTCGGCAAGATCATGTGCCACCAGATGCTTTGTTAGATGGGTCATTGTTGGCAGGAAACCAAACAGCTTTGCAGGAAAAGACCTCCAGAGAAAGAGAGAGAATTTCTAAGATGCAATGGTACTCAACATCATGTGGTAAATAATCCGAAATGTCATGTTGTCACAATCAATAATTTTTTTTTATAAACATGCTCCCGAACAGCAAAACTCACGGACAAATCGACCACAAGAACTTTAGAAAAAAAAATAACGCGTTAGCCAACAAAGTGACCCTATCAGTAGGTTAACATCATCTATTATATTTGATTTTGGTAAAGTAGGGGTCTTCTTTAGCATTTTTCCAAAAATAACCAAAATAACTCCGACAATAAAAAAATCTATTGCTTAGAGACCCACATGCTGAAGACTGAAGACAACCGACACAACCCCATACCACGTTCACATGCCAAGCTTAGCAATTCAAGCACCGTAATTTGTCAAAACCAGCAAAAAGCATTTAAACTCACATGCCAACCTCCAAAAAGCAGTGCGTCATATGAAAATGTTCATTTTTTAGTAACTATAATATGAAGATGTGTTCCCTTCAATATATATATATATATATATATATGTATGTATGTATGTATATGAAGATGTATTACACTTACAGAATTTTCGGTTTACAAATTGTGTTGGATTATCTCTCTATTACGATTTTTTTTTTTTTTTTTTACATTTATATTCTTGTCATTTTCTCTCCATTTCCTCTCCTCATTTTATTGATGTTGCTCCTGGCTGCACAAAAATAGCTATAAGACGCCATACCTGGCCAACCCATACTACACAACCGGGTCAAGGGTTGGGAATGGAACCCCAACCTGATTATGTAGACATCATTCTTAGCACTGAGCTACTTTCTTGGTAATAGCTTTTAAAAGGTTTTGTATTTCACCTTGTTTTGTTAGCTTGGTTTCTTCTTTTTTTTTTTTTTTTTTTTTTTTTTTTTTTTTTTTTTTTTTTTTTGCTTTTTCTATTAATACATTTGCAAATTTTTTTTCTTATTAAAATACTTTGTTCTCTCATTGGCCCTTTAGAATAGCTATTCTTAAGTTCTTATCTAAACTTTTTTTTATACATTTTTCTCCACTGTTTTTTAAAATATTTTTTCAAATCAGCATAATAATAACTTTTTTACTAATTGCCCTACCGAAACAAGTCTTTTCAAATTTGAACAATTCTTTATAATATATCCCTAAAATATTTTTACACAATCCTCTAAAATATTGCTTTCTCAATATGACACTAATAAATACGTTTTAACTGATTCTCCACTAAATATTTTATTTCTCAATTTTATCTCTTTTTAAAAAATAGGAGAATTTTTAAAAATGTCATCAATAAAGTAACACTTCTTTGTTTATGCCATTGTCGTTAAATTCATCTTATGCTACTAATAACCTGCAGGTTATCTTTATCTTTCATAACTGGTAGGTTATCTTTCGTAACCTGCAAGTTTTTACTTCGTATGTTGCAAGTTATTTTTCGTAATGGCATCAAAATTTTATGTAGTAATAAATAATAGAGTTGGAAAACACAATAAATAAACTTGAAATTTTCTCTTTTAAATATTATTTGTGTGTTTAAGTGTTTCGATCAAAAGACAATACCTCTCTTACTTCTACTAATGAAGGTTGAACACATGCTTGCTTGATCTTTTTCTTTATTTTATTTTATGTTTGTTTAGATATCTTGTACCTTAAAATAATTCTCATTAACGTATTTTTTTAATTTCCCTTTAAAGTGATTTTTTACAAATATGTCCTTACTTTAAACATTTTTTTCAAACTGCTAAAAGATTTCCTTTTTCAAATAAGTCCATTTATAAAAAGTTTTTTCTTATTTGCCCAACAAAAATAACTTTTCTTAAATGTACCCTTTTTTAAAATCTTATATCTACTAAGTGCTTCATCCAAAGTTCATAGAATTAATGTGTTATTATATAATATTTGGCATGACCATTGCATTGCATAATTTAATATCAAATGGTAAATTAATACGATTTATGTCATCTTATAAAATAAGACTCATTTTAAGTATCTTGTATTGTATTATTTTCTAATAGGTCCATGGTCCATGTTGGTGTTGGCCCCGACTCGAGGTCAGATTCAAGCTAGCATAAGGTTGGGCCGGAACCTATAATTATTTTAAATTTTGGGGATCAAAATGCAAATATATTTTCTAAAAGTTACATTTTTGACCCCTCAATTTGTGAAAATTTGAGTTTTTGGCCCCCAAAATTAAGGAAAAAATTAGGTTTTTGATCCTTTATATAATATGTCGTGACAACAAACACCATATTGCATTATGATAATACAATAAATCTTATACAATACAAATTACCAAACATGACCAAACCTTTCAATTTGCCTGCCAAATAAACTTTTTTTTTGTTGGTAGTTACCTGCCAAATAAACTTCCAAACCACCTAAAAGAAACGTGGTTATGTGCATGACTTTTCATAAACGACCAAGAAAGAAAAACGCTCAAACCTCCCAAACCACTTGTCGTGCACCCCTTGTTATGGCTGGAGTTAAAGGTCGAGGTTGGGTTGGGTTGAAGCGAAGGACCTGGTCTAGGCTAAACTTTCTCTGTCTTCAATACAATGCTAAATTTATAAGTTTAGAACATCTCTATTGTAGTGCTAAATTAGTATGTTGATGTTAAATTTTAGTATTTGAGTAGCATCCCAAAAGATTGATCGACTTTTCCCCTGCACAGGATTGTATAGAAACGGCCTATCATTATACATTTATTTAATTATATGTTATGAATATTTGTACATTTAGAATCATGATTCAAAACCATTCTCGATTTACATGTGTTTTTTTGAGAGAAAATACTGTAGCGAACCACAAACCATGATTCAAATCATGGTACGAATACACCAATTAAATGCAAAAACTTATAAACGATTTGGATTTCTATCGATCGTCTTTTTGGTCCGAAATGAAAACTGAAGAAGAGTAAAGATCAATTTTGGTCCGATGAGTTCGATTACAGGTTGATATGGAACTCCCGCTTTCTCGGAAGGGGTCAAGATCAAAATCATCATTTGGTTTTACCATTTTTTTTACTGTCTTCCATGGCGGATGTTAGCACTGAAGGTGTGGAAATTTCTCAGCTATCTTGCAGGCCATTAGAAGAAGTCAAGTCAGCTACTTACGAAGAAAGGGCTTCTGCTTTAAAAGCTGCAGAGGAGCTTCAAAGGGGTCAAAAATTGGACAATCCATGTTTTAGTTGTTTTTGGTTGGTAAGTTGAAACTTGAAACAAAATGAAGATGCTTTTAGTTAGCTTTGGTGTACTTATCTATTTGTTGATACGGAATTAGAGGATGAAGATGGAAAGGAATATGATGCTGTTTACATTGGAGAAAGATCTGGACTCAGCGGCGGTCGGAGATCATTTAGAAGGGAGCATAAGTCGGACGATGGCGACGCTCATGTTTGAGTTGGTCGATATTTTACTTGCAGATCTACATAGTTAAGAGTATCCATGCTTTCGAGTCAAGAATGCAACACAAATATGAACGACAAAGAAAATACCACTGGTGCTGAAAAGAAACCAAAGAGGACAATGAAGTCGAGGAAGTGAAACTAGTAGTAAAGCTGAGCCAAAATGCTCGCCTCGGAGATCTACAAGAAAACCAACTCACAAACCGTGAAGAAAGAGAGAGCACGGCAGAAGTGAGTGGAAAGACAGCATTGTGAATTCCCTCATCAATTTCGTGCATTTCTAAAACAATTGGATTTGGTTGACATGAAAAGAACGCACTTTTTTCTTTTCTCAATTTAAAGAAATTTCACGCTGAGAGTATGTTCTTGGTATGCGTAAAGAACCATGTCTATTGTCGACATATGCAGCCTGTAATCTAATATATTGTCGCAACTTGTAATGCACGCAAGAATTTCTCAAATGCTCATAGCTATTTGTTTTTTTTCTCTACTTTTTTTTTTATTGCAAATATAGCTCGCAATGTCAAGCCAAATTCAAGGCAGAAGCAATTGGTTAAGAGAAGATATAAATTCCAAGGCATCAAGAGGTTACGAGCAAAATTTGACAATAAAAGTTGAACAGTACTAACGTCTCGAAATATTAACGGTACCAAATACTGTAAAACAGTCAACAAATTTACGAGATTCAATTCCAGACAAAAAGATCTACGCAGTAGCAGGTAAAAATGCTCTTCCAGGTCGACGGTTGGAAAGAGGTCCATGGCATCCAAGAAGCTGCAAGACAAATAAAACTTGTTCAGATTCCAAAATCCCTTGCATGGGGAAAGAAATAAACAAACACAACCTTTAAAATATCAGTTCACTAAATTTTTCTTCTACTAGGCCCAATAGGTTATTCCACAGAAGAAGAAGGCACCATGTCAACCAGATTTTATCAAATGACATAATACAAACAACTACACATTTTGACAAGAACACAAACCTTGGCATTGACACCATCAGGGAGAATACGGTTCTCCGACTTCAACTTGACATAGTCATTGCGGTTGAATTTTGTGAAGCCCCTGAAAATCACAGCAAAATACAAATATAAAAAACTAGTTTTTGGCAGGCACATGCAATCCTTAGATACGAAAATTACAAGAACACATCTCATAAATGAGATTTGATGCACAATTAGTAAAACATTCTGGAAAATGTCCACAGAAGATAAGGATGCAGGCCATAAAACTACTAAAGTCTGAGGGTAAATGGTTAGTTATTATGCATCATAGTTTCTACATCATACGTGCTTCATCTATATAATGCCCGTGCTCGTTCACATTTGCAAATAAAACATCAAACTGAAAAATAAAAACAAGAACTAAATGCTACTTTTGTGCCTAGTGACTAACTTCCTTCAATTGAGCAACAACATAATAGACACTAGACTCTAGTCAACGGAAAGAAATAATTATGGAGCTGAGAGAGGCAGAGATGATGCAGACGAAGCAATTACTACAAATAATTGAACAAAATAAAGCGCCTTAACATGAAAGTTACTAGAGATCATATAAAAATACAACAGAGCAAGCATTTCAAAAGAACCAGCACACAACAAATAATCTGATGCAACACACCACTTCCTGCTGCCAGGGAATTTGAACTTGGCGCGGCGAAGAGCCTCCTGAGCGTGATGGCTGTTGCTGTCCTTGCAACGAACAGACAGAAGAACCTGACCAATGCTGACTCTGGCACAAGTTCCCTGTGGCTTTCCGAAAGCACCTCTCATACCAGTCTGGAGCCTATCAGCTCCAGCACACGAAAGCATCTTGTTAATACGCAGGACATGGAATGGGTGCACCCGGACTCGCAAATGGAAAGCATCTTTCCCAGAATACTTGGACATGTATTTGTTGCAGGCAATACGAGCAGCCTCAAGAGCCTCACTCGAAACATTTTCCTTCTCCCAGGAAACCAAGTGGACACAGAAGGGAAATTCATCGACTCCCTTCTTCTTCATCCCCACGTCATAAATCCTGATCTTAGGGTCAGGCACACCACGGCAAAAGCGTGATTTCGGATACGGCTTGTTCTTAATCTGCCGATAACATCTGGCAGGTCCTGGAGCAAGGAAACAGTTTTATAGAGAAAGAGTAAGAACCACTGAAAAAGACTATCATCTGGGAAACTCGAGCAAGCACAGCACTAAACCAAGTATTTCAAAATCAACTATTGCCAATGAAGAACTGCTACATATATTTTGATAAACTCAATCACCTATCATCTGGGAAACTCAAGCAACCGAAAAAGACTATTTACGTATCTATCATCTGGGAAACTCAGACATGCACAGTTCTAAACTAAGAAAAAAAAAAAACAAAACAAAAGTATTTCAAAATTAATCATCGCCAATCTGATAAGGGTTCCATAAAGAAGTAAGAAATATTAAACGACGGTAAACGGAAAAAACATAAACCCGCTTCTCGTTAGCACTATCTAATTCCAAGTCCAATCGACAGGTCTAACCTACCAGGTTACCGAAATCTCATTTCATGTGAATCTTCGTGCTTTTTTTCGCAGCAAAAATGCCAAAATGCATCTATAGATAAACCAATAATCTTAATCCTAATCAAACTGACCTAAAACAAAAGGATAGCCATTTCTGATTGAAAAGTACGGCCACTAAATCAGAACCCTAAATCAAGCTACAAGCTCGAAATCAACAAAAACATAACTAGTTCTCACTTCTTTTCCGACAGAAAACCAAATGACTCAGGTATATATCAGCACAACCACCACCAAAATGCTGGAATTACGAAAAATTATTGCTAAAGAATCACGATGAAAATAGTAGAATAGTACATTTCTAAATCGCAAAAAAAAAAAAACCATCTTCGATCGAAGAACAATAAAACAAGATATTAAAAGGAAAGGCAAAAGAAAGCTTACTTCTCCCCATGGCGAAATCTCTCCTCTGTGTCTGCGGCTACGAACAAGATGAAAGCGAAAGAAGAAAATGGTGCAACGCTATTTTTATCTGTGGCAAATAACAACGACATAGCTAGAGATGTCGGCCCGGCCCGGCCCGGTCCCGCCTATTCTCGCGAGCCACGGGTCAGGCCGACCTAACCCATAAATTTTATGAGTCGGATCAAGCTAGTTTATATAAGAATGATCTTGGCGCAGTTTACATCACGAGTTAATTTTATGTGGGTCAGATTGGACCGTGCTGCGGGTCAGAATGGATTGTGCCATAGACTGGCCCACTCAAGGCCCATCTTTGCTCATCATGAGTTTAGATAGGTCAGCCCATTATAGGTTTAGATGGGTCAGTCCATCTAAGCATAAAATTTTTATTTTTTATTTTTTAATGTTTAAATAAGTTAACAAATATATAAATTTAAATAGTCAATAAAAATATGAAAAGAGATATTTTATTTATGATTACCTCATTAAATAAAAACATTTTAAAGAAAAACTCAGTCGAATAAAACCTTAATAAGAAAAAAAAGTACAATCACGATAATTATACATAAGATATTGACAAAATTACTAAAATAAAAAAAAAACATAAAAATATTATGAGTTTAGATAGATTGAGTTAGACCGGCTCATTATGGGCTCAGACGGGCCGGGTTTCCATTATAAATGGATATGCTTCCCCGTGTATTTTTCAGGTAGTAATTGGATATGCTTCGCTTCCATTATCAACACATGCTCAGTACGTAGATACCTTAGTAATTTTCTTCCTTCTCCATTTCATTCTTGAAAAAAAAAAAAAGGAGATATTAGGCCCTGATAGTCTTTCTTTCTTTAAAAGTGTAAAGATATCTTGTTTACGAGGGCACCGAATATTATGATTATGATTTTTCTCAACTTGCAATCCTAGATTTTCTTTACCGGTCATGAAAAGAGAACGAGGGAGAGAGAGGGGGAAAGAATGAGAGAGAGAGAGGGAGAATTTGTTATAAAAAAACTGTAGATTTTTATTGAGAATAAAAAATATTTGTAGACTACAAAAATAATCTACATCTTATAAAAAATAACTTATAAATTATTAGTGACATAAATAAATTACAAAAATAAAATAATCTTAATTTATTAATGATATTTTTAAAAATTCCCCATTAAAGTCTATGGATGAGGTCTATCCCAAATTCTTGAAAGTGGAAAAAATATATATTTTCTGATTTTTTTTTTTGAAACTTTTCTAAAACTTTTTAAGCTTAGCTTTTGTCAAATATTTCTCAGATAATTATAGGGTAGGGACTATCACCCGGATTTGCGTTTGAACTAGCAGTTAAGCAGTTTGTACAAAAATTAAATTAGTATATGCTTTTTGAGTAGTGTTAAAGACATCAACTTAAATATCAACTCTTGTATACTAATTAATTTAACATGTAAGTTGTTGTCTTTTTATTAGTAGATGCAATCTCTTATCATTAATTGACGTGATAATGTTTTAAACAATCATCAAAGTAAAAATAACAACTCATATGTCACATCAGTTAGTGCATAAGAGTTGAGATTTAAATTAGTATCCCTAACATTATTCAAATAAAAAGAACAGTGTTAAAGACACCAAGTACTAATTAATATGACATGTGAATGTCATTTTTTTATTAATAGATATAATCGTTTATTATTAATTAATTAACGTGACAAAGGTTATATGTATCACCTATATTTAAATAGCAAGGGTTGTGCAATAGCTTTGGTGTACTTATTTATTGGGTTGCCCATTTTGCTGCATCTACAAGGGCCTTCCTTTAAGATTCTGTAAAGATCATCTTCCCAAAAAAATAAAAATAAAAAATAATAGGACTAGATGAATTGAAGTTGGATGCATTTTTGAGTTTTGACTGCCAAGTAAGTGCAAATTTACATGTTAATTGCAGATCTACACAGTTAGAGCATCCATGCTTTCGAGTCAAGACTGCAACACAAATATGAACGACAAAGAAAATATCACCTGTGCTGAAAAGAAACCAGAGAGGACAATTAAGGTGAGGAATGGTCTTGCTAAAAATGATGGCTTAGTAAATTCAAATGAAGTGAAACAAGATACTAGCACAACTAACAGCAATGTTCCAGAAGTTTCTAAAGGAGTCAAGAAGCATTACTAGTGAAACTAGTAGTAAAGCTGAGCCAAAATACTTGTCCCAGAGATCCGCAAGAAAACCAACTCCCAAACCTTGAAGAAAGAGAGAGCACAGCAGGAGTGAGTGGAAATACAGCATCATGATTTAATTTTCCCTCATCAATTTCATTCATTTCTAAAACAATGGGATTTGGATGATATTTTGATCTCGTTCACTTCGCGGATTTAAGTTTTTAATTCGAACTTAGATGTGACATTTTCTAAAAACTTTTAACTGTAACAAGAAAATTAAATGTGATATTTTCTGAAAACTTTTAACTGTAAAAACTTAAAACTGAAAACTCAAATCAGTAAAATGAACGAAACCTTTATCTCACCGTGAAAATAAAATTCGAACTTTTTTCTTTTTAAAACCAAGGACAGTTCATGCTAAGAGTATGTTCTTGGTACGCGCAATCTACCATGTTTATTGTCGACAAATGTTGCCTGTAATCCATATATTCTCGCAACTTTTTAATGCAAACAAGAACTTCTCAACTACTCATAGCTATTTGATTTTTTATTTTTTACCATTGCATATCTAGCTCTGTGTACACTTGAGGCAAATTTAAGGCAGATGAAAAGGTATAAGGTTTGTACGTTATGAAAATTCCAAGGCATCATTAGGTTACAAGCAAAATTTTACTAATCAACCAAGCAAAGATAAACTTGCAATCTCTCTTGAAAAGAAAAGATGAACAGTACTAATATATCGGTAAACAAAGGCAGAATACAATGTCTCATAATATTAATGGTACCAAATAATTGTAAAACAGTTTGACAAATTCACGGAATTCAATTCTAGACGAAAAGGTCTAAGCACTAGCAGGTAAAAATGCTCTTCCGGGTTGACGTTTGGCCAAAGGTCCATGGCATCCAAGAAGCTGCAACACAAAATAAAACTTGTTCAGATAACAAAGACCTTGTTCTTTTCACAACTCAAGTCACAACTCAAGCTCTAGTGCTACATTGTTTTCTCTCACAAAAATTCAAATTAACTTTTTTATTACAGTATTTTCCTCAAAACCTATACAACTTAAGTTCTTAATTTGAGTTGTAAAACAAACATCCCCAACATCTCTTGTGTGGGGAAAGGAATAAACAAACAAGACCTTTCTAATATCCGTTGATTAAACTTCTGTTCTACTTGTCCCAACCACAAGAAAAAGGCACCACGTCGACCAGATTTTATCAATATCCGTTGATTAAACTTCTGTTCTAGTTGTCCCAACCACAAGAAAAAGGTACCACGTCGACCAGATTTTATCAATTGACATAATAGGAACAATTACACATTTAACACAAACCTTGGCATTGACACCATCAGATTGAATACGGTTCTCAGACTTCAACTTGACATAGTCATTGCGGTTGAACTTTGTGAAGCCCCTGAAAATTGCAGCAAAATAGAAGTGTTAAAAATTAGTTTTTGATCCGCACATGCAATCTTTAGATACGAAAATCATAAGAACACATATCATCAACGAGATTTAAGGCACAATTAGTAAAAAATTCCCAAACCCTAACCCTATTAAACGGAAAGAAATAATTATGAAGCTGAGTTGGGACAAAGAGGAAAGAGGAGGAGCAATTAATACAAATAATTCAATTAAATAAAATATAGCAGAGCAAGCATTTCAGAAAAATAGGTACACAAAAAATAATGTGATGCAACATACCACTTCCTGCTAACAATAATCTTCTGACGACCAGGGAATTTGAACTTGGCACGGCGAAGAGCCTCCTGAGCGTGATGACTGTTGCTGTCCTTGCAACGAACAGACAGAAGAACCTGACCAATGCTGACTCTGGCACAAGTTCCCTGTGGCTTTCCGAAAGCACCTCTCATACCAGTCTGGAGCCTATCAGCTCCAGCACACGAAAGCATTTTATTGATACGCAGGACATGGAATGGGTGCACGCGAACTCGCAAATGGAAAGCATCCTTCCCAGCATACTTGGCCATATATTTGTTGCAGGCAATACGAGCAGCCTCAAGAGCCTCACTTGAAACATTTTCCTTCTCCCAGGAAACCAAGTGGACACAGAAGGGGAATTCATCGACTCCCTTCTTCTTCATTCCCACATCATAAATCCTGATCTTGGAGTCAGGCACACCACGGCAAAACCGTGATTTCGGATACGGCTTGTTCTTAATCTGCCGATAACATCTGGCGGGTCCTGGAATTTGAAACAGTTTTATAGAGAACAAGTAAGAACAACTGAACAAGACTATCCAAGTATTCATCCGGGAATTTCAATTATGCACAGTTCTAAATTAAGAAAAAAAACAAAAAGCATTTCAAGATCAACCATCGCCAATGATGAACTGCTATTATATTTATAAATTGATAAGGATTTCCATAAAGAAAGAAATATTAAACGACGGTGAACAGGACAACATAAACCCACTTTTTGCTTGCACTATCTAATTCCAATTCCAATCCACAGGTCTAACCTACCAGGTTGCTGAATTCTTAAAGCGCGTGAATCTTCGAGCTTTTTTCATAGAAAAAAAAATGTCAAGATGCATCCATAGGGAAACCCATAATCTTAATTCTAGTAAAACTGACGTAAAACAAGGAAAAAAAAAAAAAAAAAAACCCCATCAGATTGGAAAAACGACCACTAAATCAGAACCCTAAATCAGGCTACAAGCTCTATGGATGAAATTCGGATACCAAAATGCTCTAGTTACCAAAAATAATAGGTAAAGATTCACGATGAAAAGGGAAGTATAGTACGATTTCTAAATTAAAAAAAAAAAAACTAAAAAATAATAATAATAAAATAAAATAACCATCTTCGATCGACGATCGACGAACAATAAGAAGAAAAAACGAAAATGAAAGGCAAAAGAGAGCTTACTTCTCCCCATGGCGAAATCTGTACTCTGTCTGCGGCTACGAACGAAGACCTGGAACGAAAACGAGAGAGAAGAAAATGGTGAAAAGCTATTTATATGTGTGGCGAATATTACAGCGGCAGCGAATTCTAAAACCCTAACACGTTTTCTGCGATTCATACGTTTGAGCTTGCGTCATCGTATAGGTGACGATTATAATGGGCCCCCAATTAAAGTCTACAGATGAGCTATAGCCCAAATTCTTGAAAGCACATCCAATTTGGACCCGTCTCTAATAGGCCTCTAATTAAAAATAAAAATAAAAGTAAAAAATTAAGGGGAATGAAGTAATAAATCTACTATAAAACTTGAAGTAAATGGTCTTTTTTTTAAAGAAGTAAATAGTAAATTTTAAAACTATTTAAAGTAAAAAACAATAAATTAAAAATTTATTTTACGTCGTAAAAGAAAATTTAATTGGTAAAAAAAACTTTGTACTAGTTGTAAATAGAAAATTTACACGGTAATACTGTGCTTTATTTCAAATGTTTTAAAATTTATTATTTAATTAATTTAATTTTGTAAGCATACTATAATGTATAAAAATTAATTATATTTCATCCTTGAAGAGAGAGAGACCGTGGATGAAAGGAGAGAGAGAGCCTGTGGCGAAAGAAAGTCTGAATATGCTATAATCTTCTAATTTTTTTGTAAATATATTTGTTTAATCGTTATGCCATAACCTGTATTCTCCCTAATAATAATTATGAGGAAAAAAAGTAGATTTTAACATTTAAAATGGCAATATGCATTAAAGAGCAAATGAAAATAACACATCAAATGTTATTTTCACACTTTATTGCTAAATATGACATTGACATTAACATTTGTAATGGAGATGTTATTCAGCATAGCACATACAAACCAAACATTCTGAAAAGATTGTGGATACGATCAAATATCATATCAGACTGGCACGTTGTCTTCTTAGAAAAGCAATAAATAAATAAATAACTTTGTTCAATAAATATAGGTGAGCTTACACCAAGTAAATAAAAATGCAAAATCTTCACTTTGATAATGTATATTTTTATTAGGTAATTAAATGTTAATGTAAAATGTAAATCAGCCAAACTCCCATCACTTTACCCTAAAGTCAGCAATGCTCCATCCGTCCTATAAATAAACAAGGATATAACACAAGCACCTAAGCTAACCAAATACACCATCATGCCTAGAGTGCATAAGCTGGAAATTTGCAATCTTAATCATCAAGTTTCCCCAAAGTTTTTCCAGTCATTCGCTGCAGCCCATTTTTATTTACAGATAAACTGACAAAGGTTAACCAATCATCGAATCATCTATCGCGGTTCGCCGCCCTTTATTACTCTTTTTCACTTGACCACCACCTAAATAGTCGTCTTTCCCCATCCAATTTCTTTATACATCTTTGATTGCATGAAACAGAAAATATAACAACCTTTCTTCTTCCTGATTAGCAGGTACAAGGACTATCTACCACTTTGCAGAATAACATCTCCGAAGGGGTGGTGTTCTTGTTCTTGTCTTTTCAACTTGTAGAAGAAGCTTTTCCGCGATTTCTTTTTCCATCTCTTCATTCTTTTCCACAACTGGAATTAGTGTGAATGTTCTTCTCTTTTCCACTTGTAGATGAAAGTTCTCCACGATTTCTTTTTCCTTGATTTTCTTGTTTTCCTTCTTTTCCAGAAATGGAACAAGGTTTTCCATGAGCTGCAGTTGAAATTTAAACCATAAGGAAATAAATGGGGAACAAATAACATTAAAAGTTATCTATGCAATGAAGCAACTCTTTCAGGGCTTTTTCAGAAATTGGGAAATAAACTCAGCTATTATTTCCCCGTAATTATGAAGATGAAGATGAAACGGTGTACATTGTCAATGTGATTGCAATGCATTCTAGCATTGTCCACACAATCTTATCACCAAAAATAGCATTATGTGGTTACAGGTTTAACCTAATAGTAAATCCACGTCCACCTCAAATGTTGACATCTCGAGCCGAACTCACCCCCAATTTCAAAAACAAAACAAAACAAAAATGAACTAGTAATAGTGTTCGGCTGACCAAGCCAGCATTGACCATGAGGCGTACAAGATCCAGAACTTGATGAAAAAATTTTGCAGTCAATGCACTAGACTAGCCATCACCGAAACAATAATATCTAGGGTTAATCTCACAAATGATTCCTAAGGTTTACCCTCAATCCCACTTTGGTCCTGACTTTCAAAACGTCTCACGGTTGGTCCCTTAAGTTTTACTATGTTTCAGTTCCGATCGTGTTGTTAGCTTGGTATTAAAATATTTGACAGAATTCGTGAAAATTAGGGACTGAAATCGAAAACATATAAAGTTTGGAGACAAAAACAAAACAAAAAAACAAAAGTTATTTTTCACAGATATAGTCCCAAAAGTTTTTATCTGTTTCCAATTTTGGTCTCTAATTTAGACAGATTCCATCAAACTTTAACATCTAGAAAATGGAATGACCGAAATTGAAACAAAATAAAACCTTATGGACCAACTGTGAGACGTTTGAAAAGTCAATGACCAAAGTGGATTGAGAGTAAACCTCAAAGACCATTTGTGAAATTAACCCTATATCTAACATATTAGAATATAGATCCATAGTAGTCATCTCAAATGAATTTTCTGAAAAAGCCGCAAGCAACGCTCAATTATACCAATAAGATTAAATTCAGCAACGCAAAAAGTTAAATCACAGACTAGCTATTAGATTTTAGTCAAAGCAGTTGTTTGATCAATCATTTGATCAAACGCACTCATGATAGATCAAGGTATATGTCAACCGCTACCAAATGTTAGTTTGGTGGTTTAAAAAAACCATTCTGATAGAAACCCAGAATTTCTGGGCGGTTTTCTTAGTTGTTATTGATCAACTGAAAAACGTAAAGACGGAAATTACAGATAGGAGGAATTCGAGGTTCCTCTGCCTCCAATATTCAGACTCAATTCTCAATACAATACCCTCCCTTTTTACTACAAGCTCTCTTTTATAGACTCCTCACTCTCGGTATTTCCCATGCAAAACCAATTCCTAACGGCATGCTTGACCTCAGCGTGAAATCCGATTATATTTGCCAAGTCAGCCATTATCTCTTCCTACTACGCCTCCCTGTGAGAATTAACTATTGGCCCCTTGCTCCTCCTAGAGTACGCGAATTTAATGGGAGGGGCTCGGGCTCCAACACATTCAAAATACAAAAAAAAAAAAAAAAAAGAACCTGACATTTACTAGGAAATTTGAAGAAATATGGAACGATAACAGTTGCTGTGGGAAATTTTTCTTTCTATGTATTGACCCACTCCTACCAATGATTACATAGTTATAGTACGCAACCATAAATTTTATGAATATTTCAATTTTCAAAGAACTTTCCAACAAAATGCGTTGCACGGAAAAAGAGAATATACATATACTCGCATGCCATGTAGTAGTTCAAGAACCATTCTAAATGACTATGAACCAAGAAGAAGAAAAGGAGAGAATAATTCTATCCAATTAGCTTCCCGTAGAAGGTTGATTTAAACATATTAGCAGAGTCACCATCCTCTTATTTACTAAGTCGAACTATTGTCATCTAAAATAAGGCAATAGGAAATTATGAATGGCTTTGAATGCTCATTCACGATCCTGGAATCACAGAACACTCGAAAAACCAAACAAGCTATGAATACAACTCTTAAACATTGAAAATAAATGCGTCTATGATCTATCCATTCAGCTTAACTCCTACAACCACAAGAAAGCCCGAATTCCAACTTAATCGACAAATCTGGGTGTACATGAATAGAGCAGGAGTATGAGAAAATTCTATTAACTAAAGCAAATGGGAACAAAAACAGAGGCAATTTTTTCAAAACTGGAGAAATTATTCTTGATCACATTGTTTATCCTAAATTAGCTATCTGACCACCAGATAGGTAAGAAGTGGGTTAATTAACCCCACACCAGCTCACCAGCATTGTCCAGGTTTACATATTTATTTTTCTAGTTGTAAGACTTGAGAAAGTTCAAATGAACTATTATGTGAATTATTCAAGTAAAAGAACTATCCTAAAAGAACACTGTTCATACATACACCAAAGAAGAAAGAACAGAGAAAGAACACAAATAATGCTTCAAAGAGCTAATCCAAAATTGTCGATATCAACACTTTTGGAAGAAGCTCTACTTTTACTTACAGCAAAGGAGGGGTAGAAGCACACTTCAAAAGTTCCAATAAAAATCTAACTTTGATATTTGTGCAAAGTACTTGTATGCACTTTTACCAAACATGCTATTTACATCGTGTTTATGTGCAAAGGACTTTAGGGGAATCCAAACATAATAAAGTTGGTCACCAGCATGAGCATATTCACTTACTTTGTCATGGTGCATATTATTCATGTTGAGCATGTGTTTTAGTTCCTTTTTTCTCAGTCATTCTGAGGACTTCTTGTCTACTATCTTACTTGAATTGATAAATGTTCTGTAACCATTGGGGCTTCTTAATATTTATTCATGTCAATCTCGTGTTCTGGTTTTATTTTTTGCGTATAATTGGTGCAATTCATTATCTAAGTGTTGCTTGCACCACATGCACACTTATGCATGCAGATCCACATGCAAAATAAATAATAAGTTTGATAGATAAGAAACAAACAAATACTTTAGCATATTATTTAAAAAAATGTATACTTTAGCATATTATTAAGAAAACAAAAACAAAAGCTCAAAATACATATACATACCTGTTTACGCCTCTCCTCGTACCACTCAGCCTGCATGAATTTTCAATTTATTAAATTCTTCAGATCATTAGACAATAATTCAAGAATTCAACATAAAGTAAGTGCAAGTACGGACGGAATACTTGCATGCCAATTACATGTTAATAACAATTATCATTATAGGATTCCCACTCCAACTACCCGAAGAGATTTTCAGAATATTTGTATGCTAACTACAAGTAAATAAAAATGATAGTTACAGGATTCTCACTCCAACTCCTGGAAGAGATATAAGTAGTGCAAAACAATGTCCCTGACTTGCTCAATCAAGGGATATGTGCTCAGAAGAAAGATATTTAGATCACCACCTTCTTCTCACGTTCTTTTTTTTTTTTTGGTCCCTTTTTCTGTGCGTGTAAGTCAAAAGTTTCTTTTGTTTGCATAATTTTTTTAACAGATTGAAATGTTTCTTGAATTACATTTATACAAAGCTTACCAATTCAAATATATTTTCCACATCTAAACTTAAAACCAAATTATTTACATGCAGGGGAAGAAGAACCAAGAGAATGAGGATGACAATGGAGACGAAAAGGGAAAATAGACTATGGGCATTAATTTGTAACCATAAGTTAAAACCATAGATTGCCATGGAAACCCCAAAACAATTAACATTTGATACCTGTTCTCTCAATAATCGTGTATTCTCCTCTTCCAGTTGTGTCACTAGAGACTCGAGCTCAACTGTGTAAGCCTAAATATGGAAAAAGAACAGTTAACAATCTTTTTTTTTTTTTTTTGAAACAGAACCTAGGTACTCTTCTTAATATCAAAAAATCATTTTATTAGGGGAGAAAATAGCATTTGCAAGTACATGAAACAACGAGAAGATACTGTGTTTTCAATCCCAAATAGGACATCTCCCGTGATTCAAAGGGTAAAAATGCTCATAATACGCACCTAAGACCATATCCAATGCATAAGCCACAGCCAATGCTATATTTGGTATAAAAAAAAATGTGATAACATATTTTGGCGGCTTGTTCTATTTTGTGCTCCAATGCATAATGCTATTTCAAATGCTATGTCTACTTTTTGTCATATAGTTTAAGCTTCAAAACTTGTAAAAATAGACTTTTAATTTCTAAATAATTTGACAATTGTAGGATTGTAATTATTGAAAGAAAGAGCTATAACATCAACCCATAGTAGCCAAATGCAGAAATTTGGCAAAACCATTTTAGCACTGAGCATAGCATATGCCAAAGTTAGCACAAAAAAATAACACTTCAATGCGGAGTGGTTTTCCTATCCAAATGCCAAAATTTGGTGATAACACAATAATGTGCCACTTTATTGGAAATGCTCTAACACCCCTTGTGACTAAATAAGTGTGAGCTTGCAACTTCTAGCTATGAGATCAAAATAAAAACTCAAATCACATCTTTATGGTCTTTAGAGTCAGAAAAAATCCACGACATATTGACAAGAAAAGCAAAAGGCAATGGGCAAAAGGAAAGGAATCCACTCTAAACTAAGGTTTTACGTCGTGAGGAACACAAAATCAAAGCTTCATTACTAATTTAGCCTGGAACAACAACTTAACTTGGAAAAGGTGATGTCTTCGTTTGATCTTTAGTGTTTAAGGCTGTGTTTGCAAAGAGAGAAGGAAAATAGAATGGAAAGAAGAACATAGAGCCGATGTAAGGAAAATGGAGACGAAGGGGATGACTTTTCGATTAATATGTTTTGTATGTATTCCCCCCTCTAATCCCTCCATATTGGCAGATGTTAAAATGGATGTTCTTTGAATGATTTGAAATCTCTCACCCAACCCATTCCATTCTTTCGTTTCTCTCCTACAAAGAACCAAGGGTCCAAAAATCCTTCCACCAATCCCCTCATCCCACTTTCCCCTCCCACCAAATAAGCACTTTTAGGCTATGTTTGATAAGAGAGAGAAAATAGGAAGGAAGGAAAGGCACATAACCTAGGTGTGACAAAGATATAGAGGAAGGAGAAGACCTTTCTCTTATTGTGTTTGGTAACGACTCTCCATATTTGGAGAGATTAAAATTGGGTTCTTTGAAGGATTAGAAATCCCTCATCCAATCCATTCCTCCTCTTTTCTTTAGTACCAAACAACCATGGGTCACAAAATCCTTCCACTATCAACTCACCTCCCTCTTTCCACTTTTCCCACTTACCAAACAAGCTCTTACAGACGGGAGCAGCAGTTTGAATTTCAATCCAAAAGTATCCTTCAGAACTCAAAATGCAAACGAACACTGCACATTTTTTATGAAGCTAGATTTCACATTTAACTAATCAAATAACAATAATTTCTAAAACCTTTGAGATTTGGTTGTCTTGTCTACCTTTCCTCCCTACACTGACGTGGAAACAAAAAGAGTAAGGAAGAACTATTTACGATAAAAAAAAGAAAAAGAAAAAATCTGATATGCTTTCACTTGGTAGAGAAAATGAGCCAAAAGCAACTATTTCCTCCATTTGATACAAAGGAATCGGACTTCGATCATGAATTGTGTTAACAAAAAAGGGGAAAACCCCACAATGAACAATTAAGCAGCTACTAGAAACAAATCCTAAACGAAAATCCCTAAAGAAATTGACATGCTTTCACTTGCTATAAAACATGAGCCAGAAGCACAAAACATTTCCTCTCTTCCTCGGGTTTCATTTTCTGAGAAACCAACCAGAATATGATCCAAAATCAAGTTTGATCAAATATATGTTCTGACATGCAGAAAAGGTTTTGACAAGAGATTCACAATTTGATCGTTTAAGACAGCATTTCTTTCAAGTTTCACTTTCTCAGCAACCAATCAGAGTCCAAATTTGAAAGAAGAAAAAAATCAAATTACAATACAAAATCCCTAAGGAAACTACCTGCTTGCGCTCTCTGGACCTGGCCGCAGACTCTCTGTTCTTAATCATTCTCCTCTGTTTCTGCTGCGTCGCCTTATCGAGCGGCTCCTCGACAACTCTCCTCCTCACTCTCGCCGCCGGCGTCGCCGCTCCACTTCCATTGCCGTAAACGACCATGGGAGCAGCCTGGAACTGGCCGTACCCTCCCACCGCAACCATAACGTCCTCTTCCCTCACGGCGCCATTCTTCGACAAGAAATCCTCCAGCGTCATCGCGCCGCCGTCGCCGCCGCCGCCAACGACTTCCGCCCTCCGATCGGTCCCGCCAGCGACGATCCTCTTCCAGACCTCGTCGACGCCGTCGGCCGGGAACGGAGACTCCGACGGATGATCCTGCAACTGCTGCGGTTGCGGAGATTCGGAGTAAATGCTCTTGAGGATGTCGTCCATGGCGGCGACGGAGGCGAGGTTTCTGGAAGCTTCTTCTTCTTCGTCGTCGTCGTCGTGAGTCTGGTTGTGATGGAGATCGGCGATGAAGGTGGAGAGAGAACATATAGAGGACTGGCGAGGCAGTTCCGAATTGGTCGTCGGCGAAGCGGACGCTATCACCACGTTGGACGACGCCATCCCCGATTTTCTAGGGCTCTGTTATACCTTTTCTCTTGCCTTGATTTCTCTGATTTTTTTCCTTTTTTTTTTTTTTTTTGAAGATTTTTTTTTTTTAATTTTTCTCTCTCTTTCGTCTGGTTTGGTTTTTCAACTCTCTTTTTTCTCTCTCTCTTTCTCTTTGTACAAAATATCCATTAAAAACTGAGGGAGGATTGTAGCATGTTGTTGTATTCTGTGCTCTCTCTGTGTTTTGTGTCGGATTTTTCGCAAAAAAGAGGTAAGAGGATTTGCCCGGTCGGATTAAAAGCAGCAGTAGAGTGAGTGAATGAAACTCTATGCTAAAGAGGTTTTTTTATTTAGGAAAAAAAAAAGAGTTTCTCTAGTGTTTTTTTTTTTTTAAAAAATATTAATATTATTTATTTATTAATCGTTAAATATGTATTATTTTTTTAATTTAATTTAATTTTTGATTAAATTTAATATGAATCTAATTACTGATAAACAATAAATACTGATGTTAAAAAAAGAAAAAATATAAAATAAAGTCCCAAAAAACAAATATTATTATTAGAATGGTTTTCTTATTTTATTATTATTGAAGTTTTCATTTTGCTGAAATTACATATTTTATTAAAAAGTCTACGTCTCCTTCAGAACAAAACTATGGACATATTTGTATAGTGATTTGGTCTCCAACACGGAAGGTGTATATAAAGTCCCGTATTATAGAGCTGAAAAACAAAGAAAAAAAAAAAGAACTTACCCATATTTAATCGATTCTAAATCGACACAATAAATGCCTTTACTGAGGAAAAAAGAAAATGTCAATTCCTGCACACTCATACGCCCGTTTAGTTCACTGATTTAAAATTTTAATTTAAATTTAAATGTGATTTTATGTGAGAATTTTTTACTGTAGAAAAAAAAATTAAATGTGATTATTTTTTAGAATTTTTTACTATAACAAAACTCGAAGCGATAAAATGAACGAACCATTATAACATGCCCGAAGAAAATAGTACCTATTTATCTATACCAACTCTAACGTACTTGCATCTTGCCAGTAATCTTAACGCGTGACATATATTATCACACTTAAGTCAAACTATTAATAGAATTAGTTTTTAATCGTTAAATTTAATTAAAATAGCATTAGATTAAAAAAGTATGTAAAATATACAATTTTTTATATAAATTTAACGGCTAAAAAAAGAAACTCTCAAAAACAAATAAAAGTATTAAAAACATATATGTTAATAAAATAAAATATATTATTAAAAATAATAAATTATCTCGTCAAAAACTTTACTAATTAAAGTTTAAAACTCAATAGAATAAAATCTTGGTAAGTAAAATAAATATCCGGTTATAAATTTCATCCAAAAGTCAAAATAAGTGTAGTTGAACTAACGACAACCACCACCATAGAACTGGTTGTGAAAGAGAACTTAGCCCATATAGGAGGTCGGATGTTATTAATTTGGGTGAGGGAGAGTTTGGGGCCAGTAGAGAATAACATCACTGAGAAGGGCATCGTGGTTGGAGGTGGTTGGGCCAAGATCTGACTTTGGCTGAAATGAGAGAAGAAAGGTGTCTTTGTCAAATATTTGGGCGCGATGTTCATCATCGATGGAAGATGGTTCGATCGTTAGGGTGACAGTAGAGTTGTGTTTCGAATTGTTTTTATTTTTTTATTTTACATTTTTTGAGAAAAAAAAATAAAAATAGGAGAAAAACGGTATTTGACACAATTAAAGACAAAAAAACGAAAATGAACACAATTTTTTAGTTTAGTGCAAAATGAGAGAGAAATGAAAAACGACTTTTAGTCGTTTTTTTATTTTTTTTTCCGTTTTCTCCTCTCTCGGGCAAAGAGAGAGAGAAAGATATTAATGGATTTTTTTATATTATCTTAATAAAATTATCAAACGCATTTTCAAAAATGATTTTTGTCAGAGATTGAAAACATTTCATTTCCATTTTCATACAAAAAAATAAAATCATTTTGGAACGAGTTTCAAACGCACCCTAGATATCCTCCTTTTATCGTGGTGTTATTTTCGTTCTTTTTCTATTTTTTGTTTTGTTTATAATAAAGTGACAATGGTTTTCACCATGTTAATGTGTTCTAATAACAAATGTGATTTTCGCATATTCTGATTTTGTTCGTATATCTTACCGGTCTAAGTTAGTTATTAAGGACATATGCATTGTTTATAACTAGATTTGTTTTTAAATCTTGTCGTTTGTGTCCCCAATATTCGAGGTTAGATCTTCATTTACTTATTTTGTCCATCGACTGTAATAATTTTTCTAACAAGTTTTGGCCGCGCTTAATTTTATATTTGCTAAGCAAGTATTTCACCATTAACAATCGGCATTTGTATTTGTCTTTATGTTTTATCCGTCTTAATTATGAATTCATTTATAGTTGATGGTCAGCATGTAGCTTGTAAATTTAGAAATGAAAATTTTCTTTAAAAAAAAGAAATAAAATTAAAAAAATACATAAAAACTTAGAAAAGTAGAGTCGATATAATAAATAGTGGACTAATTTATTAGATAGTTTTTTTAAAAAGAAAAACTACTTACTAACTCTGAAAATGTTAATACTGCGAAATAGAATAGAAAAGGAACAAATTGTATTGACTAAAGAGATCCAAGATCTGAGAGAAAAAAAAAAAAAAAAGAAGGATCTTGGATCTCTCTTCCCAATGGAAAAGATTATTGAAATTTGGTATGAAGGTAAGAAGAAAAGGAGTTAAGGAGCCGCCGGCTCGGAAATTGTGGAATATTTTTTTTAAAAAAAGATTATAATAATCGTAAGACACCACATCATAATATGATCAAAAAGTCAAATCTTCATATATAAGTATTAATTATATTTAGCGTGTGGGCGCGTCTTGTTGTCAGATATTAGAGTTCTAACATTGGACTTGAAATTTTCTACATTTTTGTTCTTTGAGGTTTGTTTTTTTAGAGTGTGATTTGAGTGTAATTTTTAAATTGAATTTAAATTATAATTTAAGTTAAAGTTGTAACTTGAGTTTGTATTTAGTTGTGTACATTTGAGTTATGATTTGAGATAATAATCTTTTTTTGAGTTTGTGTTTGAGTGAGTCAAAACTTAAATTTGTATTTAGATAGTATTTTAATAAAAATTCAATGGTGATGAAAAATTTTAAAGGGTATATGGGTGGAGTTTTATTTATCTTTTCGTCGTCAACGCATAGAAAAAAAATTATCTCAATCAGGATTAAAACGAAAAAGTTATAGCATTTTTAAGAATAGAAAAAATATTGTTCATTAATTTGAGTTCGAGTTTCTAAACTCGAGTTGAAGGTGACACTTGAACTCGAGTTTTAGTCTCAAACTCGAGTTCAAACTTAAAATAACATGAACTTGAATAAAGTTAGAACTCAAGTTCCCTTTTTTTGAGTTTTTTTAGGGCTGTTCTTTTACCGTTTTTGAGTTAGGTGACTTGAGTGTAGATTCTGAGTTGAGTTTGAGTTATAACTTGAGTTTGTGTTTGGTTGTGTACATTTGAGTTATGGTTTGAGATAAGAATCTTTTTAAATTTGTGTTTGAGTGAGTCAAAACTTGAATTTGTATTTAGATAGTATTTTAATAAAAAATTAATGCTGATGGAAAATTTTAATATGATATATGGGTGGGGTTTTATTCATCTTTTCGTTGTCAACGCATAAAAAAAATCATCTCAATCAGAATTAAAACGAAAAAGTTATAACATTTTTAATAATAGAAAAAATACTATTCATTAATTTGAGTTCGAGTTTCTGAACTCGAGTTCAAGGAGAAACTTGAACTCGAGTTGAAGGAGAAACTTGAACTCGAGTTTTAGTCCCAAACTCAAATTCAAACTCAAGTTCAAACTTAAAAAAACATGAACTTAAATAAAATTATAACTCGAGTTACTCTTTTTGAGTTTTTGACTCAAGAAAGAGCTACCGAACAGCTTCTTAGGTAGCCGAACACATCCTGATTTCTTGAAAAGGCATTTTTATCATAAGATTGAAGCCTGGTATCAGATGCCGACGGATTGAAGCCTACATATACACCATAAAAATTACACAATTGGAGGGTCAAACACGTGCTGTATGGTAAAAAAAGGAAAGGATCCTTATAATAATATAAATATATATTAACATTACATATACATATATATACATAATATATTAGACAAATTTTTAATAATTATGTTTTTATTGTGGTTATTAATTAAATATAAAAATTTAATGAAAAAGCGTGTTAATAATTAAATCTCATTAATTGTTATAAATTTTATCAGTCAACTATTTAATTTATTGAAATTATTGGATCAATGTTTTACAGTTAAAAAAATAATACTTATTAATGAATAACTATTGGAGTAACTATTAAAACTCCGTATAGTATTGATGTAATGATAATCATAAATAGTTGAACATTTACTCAAGTTTAAAGGAGAAAAAAAAAAGGCAAGGGTTAGGAAATTAATATTTAGAAAAACAAGGAAATGTTAAGAGTGAAAAGTGAATCATGATTCTTAGAACGTTTTGATTTCCTATTCCAAATTCCCTTACTACAAAAAATGTCTACTTCCAACTGCCATTGCTAGATTCTGATTGTTTCAACGCCATCAAATGAGACTTGATGTTAAACCTGAGAAAGTTCCAACATAGAAACCTCAGTGTAAAATATAACCTAGAATTTTCTTATATGACTTTTGCTTTTGTATTAATTAGGTGTATTGCATTTGGAATCTTTTAAACATGATATATGAAATGCCATTAGCAGGAATTCATGATTTTATGATGCCATGATTTGATGTAAAAAGCAAATATAGTTAAAAAATATGTTAAAAATTCATAGTTACCAAAGGAGTTTTTTTAAGGGGGAAAAAAACAAAAAGGAGTTATTGAACTGTTTTTTTTTTTTTTTAAATATAAAAACAGAAAATTAGAAAAAACATTTCAATATGTATTACTTTTTCAATATGATTTGACTTTTTCTGGTGTTTTTTTTTTTAAAAATGCCGGTATTTCATGTTTATCAGCCGTCGAATATGTATTACTTTTTTAATATGATTTGACTTTTAATCAGATTTAATACATATCAAACGGCTGATAAACAAATAACACCAATATTTTTAAAAAAGAGAAAATACTAAAGAAAGTCTCTTTCTTCTTTTTCTTTCTAAAAAGTTAAAAGTGAAAACGTTATCCATGATATATCACTATTTATATAATATTTTTACATAACACTCGTAGGCGAAGTTTTGTTTTAACTTCTGATTATTTTGACCCTTTAAAACTTTCTTTTTATTTCACTTTGGAAAAACCTTATTTATACAAATCTTGAAAATAGAAAGTCATTAGTAATTACCTTAACTAAATGACACAAACTCTCATCCAAGCCCCAATTAATGCTTTATGAGTATATCATGAGCTTTTCATGAAAAAGAAAAACTATATATATATATATATATATATATATATATATATCAATTCCGTGTCAAATGAATAACATTATCATCAATCTTTAGGAATTTGATTTACTATTAAACAGAATTGTTCTATAGATCAATTTCAGTTAGATCTAGTTAAAGATATATTCACACTTGATATACGTTGGAAAAATTATCCAACACCAACTTCAATCACAGAATCAAAAACAGAAAAGAAAAACTCAAGAACACAAGCGATTGATCTCGAAGTTCGGTGATAAATCCACCTACGTCTCCGCGAACTCCCCAAAGGAATTCGATTTGCACTAATCAACAATATTCTGATTACAACAACAATTACAAGAGTAAAACTTCCCATAAAATCTCAACCCACTTTCCCGAGAAACCCAAGCAAGAAAATTATAGAGCAAGATAGCCTCTTCTCTACCCCTTTCTCACTCTAGAACATGTTTCTCTCTCTAAGGCTTTTTCTGTTACAAAGTAATTTACTCTCTCTCTCTAATCAGAAGAATTATATTTTTACACCACGTGATGTTTCAGTACAATATATATATATAGCTAAAAGATTGAAGAAGTATGACTTTTCTAAGCAGTCCAATACTAGTGTTCCAGCTGCCTTTAAAACATCCATGTCATCTTCTTTATCTCTTAGTAATGTTGTTGTATTATTGATGTTGAATAAAAAAGGAATTTTTGTTTTCCTTCTTCTATCTTCAATATTGCAAAAATATTAATCTTCCAATTATATGTAATTGAATTAACAATCTCCACCTCAGTTACATATAATTCCTTAGTGCAAATCTTCCCTTCCTCTAGATCCTTGCTCGACCTCATCTGTCATTAGCCATTGTCAATTACTAGCAGTTTAAGACAATGCTTAAACTTGCTAAGAGTTACAACCTTTGTCCCAATATCTGCCGGATTCTCTTCAGTTGGAACTTTTTCAATGTTGATCTCTCCTTCTGCAATCTTTTCCCTGATGAAGTGGTATTTGACTTCTATGTGTTTTATCCTGTCATGATACACATGATTTTTACACAAATGTATAGCACTTTGACTGTCAAAGTATACAGTTCTTGTTCCTTCTAATAGCTTCAGTTCCTTGAGCAAACCTTGAACCCAAATACCTTATTTGATAGCCTTAGTGGCTGCCATATATTCTGCTTCGGTGGTGGATAATGCAACAACTGGTTAGAGTTATGACTTCCAACTAATGCAATTACCACACACCATAAAAAAGTATGCAGTAGTTGATTTCCTGCTATCTCTGTCTCTAGCATAGTCAAAATCTACGAAACCTTCAACTGTAACTTCTGATCTATGCTTTTTATATTTTAATCCATAAGTGGTAGTACCACTAATGTATTTTAATAGCCATTTCATTGCTTCCCAGTGGTACTTGCCAGGATTTGACATAAATCTACTCAAGGTGCTACTAGCATGAGCTAAATCAGGTCTGGTACAAACCATCGCATACATCACTGATCCCACAACATTAGCATATGGAACACTTTCCATATACTTTCTTTCTTCTTCACTCTTAGGGCTGTGTTGAGATGATAATTGAATTTGAGAGGTTATGGGCTGTCTCGGTGCTTTGGCTCCTTTCATAGAGAATTTTTCAATCACATTCTCTAAGTACTTTCTCTGATTTAGAAATAGAATTCTTGTACTCCTATTTCTGTTAATTTTCATGCCAAGAATTCTCCCTGCTGGACCTAAATCCTTCATTTCAAACTCTGATTTCAACATCTCTTTCATCTTGACAATCTTTGTCTTCTCCTTACTTATTAACAACATGTCATCAACATACAGTAATAGGTACTCAGCCCTCAATATGTTGCATCCTTTGTAGTATAGGCGAGTGTCAAACTAACTTCTTGCAAATCCCTGCTTGGTAATAAAGGTATCAAACCTTTTATACCATTGTCTAGGAGATTGCTTGAGGCACTATAAGGACCTCTTAAGAAGACACACCATGTCATTGTCTTTCTGCACTTTAAATCCTTCAGGTTGCTCCATGTATATCCTTTCCTCTAATTTTCCATGGAGAAATGCAGTCTTGACATCCATTTGTTCTAGTTCTAGATCAAATTGAGTCACAAGAGATAACATGATCCTGATTGTCTTGTACTTGACCACCGGTGAGAATACTTCTGTGAAGTCCATACCTTCCTTTTGAGTAAATCCCTTTGCAACCAATCTTGCCTTGTATTTCACAGGTTCTGAGTCAGATGATCCCTCTTTAATTTTGTAAATCCATTTACAGGCTACCACAGACTGAGTTTTTGGTCTCTTCACAATCTCTCATGTTCCATTCTTGTATAAAGAGGACATTTCCTCTTTCATGGCTTTAATCCACATGCTTGCTTCTTTACAACTGACAGCTTCCTTGTAGCTTTCTGGTTCATGTTTGTCTATGTTCATTGTTGTTGTGAAAGCATAGGCTAAGGGGTCTGAGTAGGCTGAGAACCCATATCTTTGAGTTGGCTTAGAAACTCTCTTTGATCTGTCCCTGACTAGCACATAGTCATCTAGCAACGATCTATCATGATCATGTTCTGGAGTGTAATGCATTACATCTGATGACTGAGATTCTGGTTCATCAGAGGTATTTCCATAGTCAATCTGTTGTGACCGAGTTTGCCCATGCTCTACCTGATCAATGTCTGTTTTTCCTTTTGGAGGCTCCACCTAAATTTAACTCTCAATAGTACCTGCATTATTAGTTAAAGAAGTATCCTTTCCTGTAGACATATTAGTGTGAGATAAACATGTAAAATCAAATTCATTAAATATGATATCTCTGTTGTTTATTGTTTTAAAAGCTTTTCCATCTCTAACCCACAATCTATAACCTTTAGTCCCTTAAGGATATCCTAAGAAAACACATTTAACAGATATAGGGTCTAATTTTCCTTCCTTTTTGTGAGCATAGGCAGCACACCCAAAGGTTCTTAAGTGGGACATATCAGGTGGTTTGTTTCTCCATAACTCCTCAGGGGTTTTGAACTCTATGGCATTAGAGGGACATCTATTGACTAGGTAAGCAACTGTCATAACATCTTCACCCCAGAAATTCTTAGGCAAGCCAGCCTGGAACAACATACACCTAGACTTATCTAGAATGGTTCTATTCATTCTCTCAGCAACCCCATTTTTATGTGGGGTTTTCCTAACTGTTCTATGTCTCTGGATACCTACCTTTGCACAGTAATCATCAAATAGTTTGTTACAGAACTCAAGTCCATTATCAGTCCTAAGAGTTTTAACCTTTCTATCTGTCAAATTTTCTTGTAAAGTTTTCCACTGTTTGAACTTACTTAAAGCGTCATTTTTATTTTTTAATAAGTAAAGCCAAACCTTCCTAGAATAATCATCAACAATAGACAAAAAGTAAAGGTTACCGCCATGTGTTGCAGTAGTTTCTGGCCCCCACAAGTCTGAGTGTACATATTCCAGTGGTGCCTTGGACTCATGTGTTTCAGCCTTGAACTTGAGCCTATGTTATTTTTCCAGAATGCATGATTCACAGAAATCTACTTTGCTAACTTTATCCTTTCCTAGCAGCCTCTGTTCACTCATGATCTGCAGCCCACGTTCACTGATGTGTACAAGCCTATTGTGCCCAAAACAACCTTCTTGTCCTCTGGTGCAACAGCAACTGACAATTTTCCAGTAAGTGTGTCACCAATCAAGTGGTAGAGCCCATCATCTTTGACTCATTTCAGAACCACCATTAAACCTTTACATATTTTCATAGAATTCCTTTCTATCTTTGTCACATACCCTGAATCATCAAGCACACCTAGAGATATTAGGTTTTTAGCTAGGCTAGGAACATATCTGACATCTTTGAAGATTCTAACAATGCCATCAAACATCTTTATGGCAATTGTGCCTAGACCTTCAACTTGGCAAGTATGACTGTCACCCATCATCACCTTTCCACCATTCACTTCTCTGAAATTTGTAAGGCATGATTTATTATGTGTCATGTGGTATGTACAATCATAATCAAGAACCCAGTCCTGATCTTTAGCCTTGCTTAACACCAAAAGCACTTTACCACTCTCATATCCATCTGGAAAATTTACAACTTCATGGTTGTCTGAGCCATTAGATGAGTGACCTTTCTCTGATAGGCATAGCAATCCTTTTTTAGATGACCTGGTTTGTTACAGAAGAGACACCTTCTCCCTTGTCCAGAGCCTTTTGAGGATGATTTACTTTTCCCTCTATTGTTGCTTCTTCCCTTTCGATTACTTCCACATTCCTGACTTCTACCCCTTGCAAAATGATTCTCCCCCGATGAAGACTCTCCTTAGTTTTTATTTCAAGATCTCTTGCCTTTAGTGTTGAGATGACTTCTTCCAAGGTAATTGATGTTCTGCCATACTTGATGGCAGACTTTACCTCTTTGAATGACTTAGGAAGTGCATTCAACAAGATTATAGCCTGGTTTTCATCATTCAATGCCCCATTTTCACTAGAATTAGCCAGTTTTATATTCATTCTTAAGAAATCATCAAGATTCTGATCAAGAGTTCTAGCAGTCTTCATTCTAAAACCAAACATTCTATCTTTCAAGAAGATTTTATTTGTCAAGGATTTTTTCTGAAACAGTTCATCCAATTTATTCTAGATTTTTACAGGTGTATCTTCTTTATCAATCATTCTAATGATAGCATCTGAAAGATGTAGAATGATTATACCTGTTGCCGTTTCCAAGAGTTCTTGTTTCTGATCTTCACTCCAATCATCCGGCCATTTTAGGGATTCCTCATGGGCACGAAGCAGTTTCTGTTGAGCAAGAAGGCCTTTGATCTTTCTCCTCCACATGCGGAAGTCTCCAGAGCCATCAAGCTTCTCAATTTCCACTTTCAGATTTCCCATAATTCTGAAATTAAGAGGATCTTGAATTTGCCTTGTCTTATCTACCGAACTTGTGGCTAGATTTTCCTCTGATGGTTGTGTTGGGAATAGTGTCCTAGAAGCATAAGATGTAAAAGGATATTTATTATTTATTTAATAAAAGAGTTTATTCATCATTTTATGTGCATATATTTATGAATATTTAATAAAATTCCTT